GTCGTTCATTGCCAATAAATAATTTATAAGAGAAATAAAAATAAAATAATAAATAAATAAAATATTGCAGTAATAAAATATTTTTTTAGTTTTTCGCTGAATCCTCTTGATAGAGGCCTATATAAGTTACGAACAATAATTTTTGGAGCACAGTATGTAAATTTGGTTTCTGATACTGCTGCCAGAACAAACAGAGAAACAGACAAGTGTTGTCGCCGCTCGGGACGATTTACCTAAGACAACATAGAATCGACGTGTTTCCACTAACTCTACCGTCACGGGAACGAACATAGAACAACGAACAGACAGGGAACAGCGTGAGTAATATAATAATTAGATTGTATGTTTATAAACATTTGTAATATTTTTTGTACAAAGTAGAATGGCCTAGGAAAATAATATATGCACTTCGCTTTCTTCAACTAGTGGATTCGTAAAAGAATATTTCCCGATTTCGATCCTGTATTAAGAAAACCGTACCTATATATGTAGACCGGTAGAATCACCCACGAAGGGTGTAATTTAGGTATAGATACCGGCAAACATCTTGAACAAATGTCCTTGCCTGCGCAGAAGCGATTTTTAGATATCACTTGGGGGCGGCGGTCGGTGGTGCGCGGCGTCGGGAAAGTGACGTGTCGATCGCGTGATTGGTAAATAAGTTGACGCTTGTGTCCCGCGCTCCGCAAACTTTCCCCCACTCCCTTGTTTAAGTTCAAGATTTTTTCCGGTATCTGTAAAAGCTGTTTATATGCAAAAACACTGGATCATGACCATTGTAATTAATTACACATGGTAGACCATAACAGTATTATCGGTTGGCCTGCACAGTGGGCACAGGTTCCGAGAAACAGACGGTTTGTCAAGGGCCATCCCAAAGCAATGCGATTCCACTCCACTGTACATGCTCCGTGCACATACATGATAATTATATTACCAGTGCGTAATGTGTACACTGTCTAATGAGCCGTGAGTATGCATTATCATTATATTTTTATTGTAAGCATCAACCACATAGCGTATCATAACCTGATACTATCGAAGTAGTAAGTGCAAATAATGATTTTACGAAGGTTTTTGAAGAACCCCGTACCTCCGATGAACAAGTTTTATCACTTACCACATAACTTATTGTTTAATTGTTGCGATGCGGGGTCCAAAAAAAATTGTATAATAATTTAGTGTTAATTTTAGATATAAATCTAAACCGTGTTCCTTCCGATGCATTTCCTGAGATTACAAAGTGTAAGTTAAATTATCGCTATTCATCAGGCAGGCACCTGCATCAGACGTGTCTCGACTTCCAACTTTTCTAACTTCTATCGCTCTATGTGCTTCAATTATAAGATTATTTAGGATTTACTAAGAACTTTGCACGATATAGTTTTTATAGATATTTGAAGAATAAAATGAAAGAGAACTGTAAAAACATTAACGTAATATTACTAAATATATCACGTGTTAATTAAGATAAGTTATTATTTATATTTGACACTATCTATAGCATATTAAAGGCTCCACCATCACGTAAATTTCGAGGCTATCCAACTTCTTGACATCGCGGGCCTAGTAGGAAGATTAAAATGGACAAAAACATTTGAATTAGTGTTAGTCGCTAGTCTTAAGTGCTAAACAGTGGTAAGTGAAAAAATAGAAGTCAAGAACAAAGTGTCTCTCTCATAATAGAGACTGTAAGTAGGGTCATTGGACACTTTCTTATGTTACATTTTCTTATTAGTAATTTAGGTTAGACTTAAATTATTAAAAGTCTTAAGTAAGGCTAGATCGTAATGTTCCATGATGTCTCAGTAAAGAGACGATGTATTAAAAAAATATTTGACACTATACTTGTACAAACACATACTTAAATTTATTTATATTCTTCATGCTAATATATTTTCCAAGCAACTAGAGCTAAAAGCAACTGTCTATTAATAGCTCAAAACAATCACGTCACACGAGTAAATCATTATTGTATAGGCCAAGCAAATGTAGTATTAAAAACAATTATCTAAAGTAATCTGTGGTTATACACTAAAATAGCGTTAAATGTTCACAAAACAGTGTTCATCACTATCTGTGTGTTAAAATATTTCACCTGCATAAACAATTGATTCTATATTATTTGTCAAAATAATGCCACACCCATTTTTCAAAATGCATAAATCGTGACCCCCATGAGTATATCTTTAAAGTAGGTTAATAAAAGCGGTGTCTCCAACAATAAATCGTGTTCCCACTACATCGACGCTTCCTAAATCCTTAAGGAGACCACCATTCTTCATTTCCCGTCTTTCGTTATTGTGTAGCCGACCAGTTAAGCTTGACACCTGTCCATTTATACGTGAGCACCAAAACCCTACCAGGTGCAGAATTTACTGCTTGCACAGAGCTCTGTTTACACTGGGTGGTGCTGTTTGAGACATATTTCACGCGTTGTCCGGGGAATATGCCGATACGATGTGTAGTGGGTTAGGTCTTAAGATTATGCTGTATTTATATTATAATAATAAAGCTCGTTTATTTCCAATATTCACAAATATTGAAAATACAGTTTAGATATATATTTTTTTCTTTTATCCTAACTTTCTTCAGTACCATTGATCGGAGCCCCTACACGGGTAAAGGCCTCCTTCAGGTGTTTCCAAATATCTCTATTCATGGATTTCTTTCTCCATTCGCTTCCTGCTGACGCTTCTATATCTCCTTACCACCTTTTTGTAGGGCACCATCTTCTTCTTCCCCTCTATGCATATAGCTCTCTTTAAAGTCCACCTTTCTGTGCATTATGCTATGTGCCCCGCTCATTGCCACTTCTGCTTTAGGGCTGTATTTATATAGTCTCTTTAAAAAATATGATTTTCCATAGAAACTAAACTCAAACACAGTGAAACATTAAACTTTGTTCTAACTATAAAATAATTGCATATTATACCTCATCAGCCTTTCACCTCTTTGAACAAGCGACGGCAATAAAGACGCAAGTTTAATTCACCATTACACACACTATCACATCTAATACTTTAGTCACGTTTTTTTTGTCTCGCAGCCTCGTTCTCTCGTTAAACTAAACAACTTAATACAAAATGTTCCAGCGCATTCATTACTTATGGCGTTATGAATAATTCGGATTAATCTTCATGCAATAATCTATTCCTGTCTGCTATCGCATCAATAACTTTCAAGAGCAATTTCAGATTCTGTGCCGATGATTCTATGGTTAGGACGAGTTTATAGTTTTATTATCACACATTGCCCACAGTGCCATTGTATTCCATTTCATTTGTGGGCGTTATAATAAATATTGATAGGTCGATAAACATATCATGTGTTATCTTGAGACTGTTAGTGGGACAAATCACTGTGATTTGAAATTGTTATTTATTTGATAATATTTGTAAACTGATTATAAGAGTAGCGAATTTTTTATTAATCTATAACCTGCAGGCCATAGAAATTCTGCTTTTTTGTCTCCACACTGTCTTCGATTCTCGAGTATCTCAGATTAACCGTGTTACGGCTGTATAGACAGTTCCTTAAACGTCACAGTAATAATAATAATAATAATCTTTACAGTGATTCAATGGACGTGCTAAATAATAGGTCACTGTTATTTTCACAGCGCCCTTCCAATGTCGGCCAACACTAGGACTCACCTATACACCTCCAGCACAGCCGAAGGGCGAACTAGTATAGTAATAAATTCGCAGTAAATATTGTGCATTGTGTGGAGGATAGATTAATTTAGCCATTCGACGCTATCGCACGCAGGCCGACAAGATTTATGTATATAGCCAATACGGACGCCATATTGAAAAATATAGTGACCGGCCCCAGGATTTGATTGTGATAAGCTGTGACAAATTGTGTTAGGTTCGCTTGGCGTTAAGGCGTTGACCTTGAAATTAACATAGGCCTGCTGCGTTTATGTTTACTAATGCGTTACTTCTCACAGAATGTATTTTTACATACTTGCTATAAAGTAAACCGAACACATACAGCTTATATATTATTTCCATGACCAAACAGTTCTAAATACTATCTTCACGGAAAAATAATTTAAATAAATTAAAACCAAACAATTTGATAAATACAATATTTTAAAAAGTAAATATCTGAAATTTACCATAAGACACTACGAAATGTAAGAACTAATAATGTATCGAAGGCTCTAGATTTTTGGTCATAACTAAATAAATACAAATACGCAACTATGACATTTATAATAGTAACATAAGTATCAAATAATTAATACGTAGCTAACTGATAAACAGTTTTAGACTTTCTTTAGCATCTTTTGTACTATATAAGACTTTTACTGACATATGTACCACGAAATACTGATAAATACGTTAATGTTTAGTTTATCTTGAATATTGAAGGCGAAACTCACGCAAGGCTGTGTTCTTAGTGCGTGATTTATTGCAGTTACAACAACGCTTCGATGTCGTTTTATGTTACATTGGGCACCGGCTATCGATAACGCACAATGCTCTATAGTCTTGTTGATATTCTAGCTTAGATTATATACCTACGCCATAACAATATCGTTATCTAATTATCTTATTTAAATGTATTTTTTTAACGTAAAAAAGTGGCACGGCCTAACCATCCTTTTCTCGACGCAGTTCAGGTCATTTTCGCCTAAAACTTGTTTGTAGATAAAATTGGGTAAAACATAAAAGATTGTTAATATTGATATGGTTTAAAATGTTGTTAGGTTAGCTAATTACGTAATAACTTAAGAAGGTCACTTAAGTAGGGACTGAATAAATTAACCGACTTGGTATTACATGGGTCTCACAACTTTTACGGTAGAAGAACTGTGTTGTGTGACTTTTTACAAGTTATGTTTTTGTTGGCATATAATTTGCAATCTCCGTGTGTAACCATATTCAAGCTTAAAATACGTAGAAATAGATGTTTTGTTTATTAGAAAAGGCAAGATTCAAAAAACTTAAAAATTAAATTATATTGTTTTTCTAATGTTACAATTTCAATTAAGCATCCACTGTTGTAGCTGCATCTATATTCGTAGAAGTTTCATTTCCACCTTCCGCTTTTCCGACTTCTGCTGTTTGACCAGTTTCACCTGTATCTTGCATTGTATACCCGATAGTAGTATTTTCCTCATCAGTTCCGTTTCTTGTTGTCGTTAGTATTTCCAATTCAGTTGTGTCAATTTGCTCTACCGCATCAATTGAATGGAAGTCAGAGGGACCAGCTCTTGATGAATAAATACAGGTGGCTACACATTCGTATTCATCCTGGAACATGTTGAGATTTGGAAGACAGCCACGCCAAAGTCCTACTTCACATCTGGAACCTGGTCTCCAGTAGTACATGACGGGTACGGGCGGCTTACCACAATCTTCCCATCTAAACTTTGCGTAGCAGGCCGATGGCGGTACTAGAATGATAAGCGTTTGGTGTTTTCATCTTAAAAAATACTCTACTGTGGGAATAAAACCAGAAGATGAGCAAGGAAAAACTAGTATTCATTCAATTATAAATCTTCTTTTTATTTATTATTTTCATTAACATCAATTTCTGCTTCAATTTCCCAACAGAAGTAATAAATTTACATAACTAATAGTTTTGTTTAAAATCTAAAAATAAAAATTAATCATATTATTGTAATATATCTAATACTGACGACATGAAATGGTAAGGTAAAAACTTGACTAATTACAATATCGCAATTATTATTGAACATCTCTGAATAATTCTATATATACTATTTCAAAGCAACCTTCGATAAGTTCACTTGTAAGAAGGCACGGAAGGTTTTAATGCATCTCAACAATGTTGTTAATGTTTCCGAGTTATTACGAACATCACATTAAACCCTAAGAGTCAAAGCCGACGTTCAAATTTATTCTCATTTTACGACATCTACCACATTGTAGTTTTAAGAAAACGTTAGTGGGCAAGACCACTGGCTGAAGCTTTGGTATCATATAACGCTTTAATTCTTCTATATTTACTAACGGGTGTAAATATTCACTTTAAATTAAAGTGCTGGCAGTCACATGAACCTGCTGTAAGTCTTTATTTGCAAAGTGGCACAAAAGTCTTTAAAAGACAATATTTAATAACAGAAAGATCGAAATCTACAGAGTAATTCACTGTAAATAATTAAAATTCAAGCAACTTCACTCAAACACCAGTGTTTAAGAGCTTTATAAGAACTCTGAATTACATAATAGGTCTCAGGTTTGAGCTGTATCTTCGATTATTGGGTCTAAATGCTGGTTTCCTTACCGTAGAAGCAAGTATTAATTGCGAAAAGAGAAAGAAAAATCAATTGAATCTCAGGTTCTTGAGAGACCAGTATACCAACACTGTTTATGATCAGAATTTAAGATTTTTCTAAACCATCTCAAAGTTTATTTGAGGTTGTTACAGGTTCAATTATTATTATTAAAATAAACATACCAGAATTTATAATTCTGCAATGAAAAACAATAAAGAATAATGAAAACATAACGAACATGTTAGAATTATAACGAGCTGCCGGTGAATAAAATTTTAATTAACAAATTAATGAACGTAATATTTGTTTATAGATCGTTTAATTATAGTTGTTTCATCACTTTATAGTTAATTTGAAACGCCGACTTCGTCTGTAGAAAAATAACACTAATAGCACAACTATATATATATATATATATATATATATATATATATATATGTTAGAAGATCAGAAGTCTATAATGTTACTTACGAAATTTAAACAACGATTTTGAAATATTAGAGAAATGCAGTTAATGTAACCAAAACATACGATAATTATTTAATTTCTTACTTCGTCTTTTATCATCAATTTGTGTTTACGCTACATAAGTAAGAGATATTAAAAATGTCTGTCCCATTTGGAGAGAGTATTTAAGAAATCTGTACTTAGTTTCAATAATATATACATCTTGAAACTATAAAATTATACTATATTATACATTATATTTCGCTTTATTTGTTATTACAAACATAAAACATTTGATATCTAAAAATAATTATGAGAAAATAAATACGGGCCTGTCAAACGATTTTTTTATTAAGGCAGTTTCAAATAAAACGTTTACACCTGAATGAATTACAATTAAGCGCTGAAATTCATACTTCACGTGACTCAATAAAATATTAATATACAAGTCTTGTATTCGATGGTATATTAATTCGTTACGTTCATAGATTATTTATACGATAATATAATTAAAGTGCGTCACAGTGAAATTAATTTAGCGTTTAAATTATTAGCTTTTGAACGAGCTGCTGTAAATAGCGGTAATTAGAGTCGGAAATTTTGTTTGCTTAATTTAAATTAATTTTTAAATCTGACAGAGCTTATAGTTATTGACGTCATAATAACCCACTTTTGATGGACTTTAATCGTGTCCACTTCTTTTCATCGGGCAGATCATTTATCAAGCTTCGTGTACATACACAGGTGTAATCCAGACGTTGCAGGTTCGATTCCCTGTGAAAAAGTGCTAAGAACTGGTAGTCATTTAAACAAATCTTAAAGACGTTGTCAAATACGATTTAGTCAAATACGAAAAACAAAAAGCATATTTAAAAAAATACGCTGTCTTAAATATTCAAATACAATTTTAAAACCTTCATTTCCGCCTCCGAGTTTTCCCTGCCATGAAAGCAATCAAGAATTCGTATATTAATCCCGTAACGAAATATCGGTTAGTCAAATTAATAACTAAACAATAAGGAAGTTGGTGCCGCGCCGGATATTATTTCGTTCAGAGAAATCTATGGACTTATATCTAGCCGTTAATCGTTACTTAAGAAAATACTCGGTTTTAATAGTGATAATGTTATTTTGGTTACTTTTTGCACATATTTATGGACGTGGATACATCCTACATCGATTCAAATCGATGGGATTGTAGAATATCGTTTCACAAATCACCTACCGATTTCTCTCGATTTTCTGTTAAATTACTGAGCTTCCTTCAACAAGTATAACATTGACCATCCTAGACATAATATCGGTTGCACCTGGAATTGAAGATAATCCAAAGTTAGTCTAGAATGTGTGAATGTTAAACTCAAGAGGAATCACCGAACTATCACGGTTTGTTATAAACTTGTTCGAGTCAATATCGAGCCGCTATTGGCTAACTTTGTCAAAACTATTGACAGACTGACTAAATGCTTCTAAGATCTTTGAGATTAATATTATTGTCTATCGGGAGAGCTTTGCTTAGTCTAAGTTATCGTGTGTGTCATGATTAAGTCTTAAATCGCTTAAAAACACAACCCTTACTTAAAATTGATACTTACTTAATTCGTTATAAGTTAATGAGTGCAATTAGCATACTTCAATATCTATGCATAATGTTTTGTATAAATTAGTACATAATAATGTTAGGGGCCATCATTAAAAATCTATGAAGGCTCATATGAAGAAACATGATGGTTACATAGTGTAAGTTTAGTATTGTAACCAAAAAAAATATTAAACATTTATCGAGATTAAATCTACGATTTAAATCTGATAGTTAAGAATTGTATTTTGTCATATCCCATGGAATTTTACAAATTATTCACATTATTTCTTAAAAAATGAAGAAAAGCCAATAGAAATAAACAAGGCCTCAGTTTATGATGGTCCTGAAGGTTGAATGTTTATGTGTCGGGTTGGAGTGACATGTGTCTCGAGGGAAAAACTTTATTGCTAACTTACTGCCGAGTATGCCTTCAGAGCTTGTAAATAATTATTATTGTGCCGAGAGGTCTAAGGGCAACTGACAAACTAAAATTATATGTATAATGGTATTATATAGACGGTTGTAATCAGGTTAGTTGCTTCGAATCTTAGCTTCACCATATAAATGATATGATCTATCAAGATCTTCGCTTCATTGACAAAACAATCGGTGCTCTATGTACGTTTTTGATATATAGCCTGAAAAGGCTAGGTAAAAGATTATATAACAATATATACTCCTGATACCTAATACAAACGTTATGCTTATAGGTAACTTGGTAAATACCATAAAATAAATCAGTGGCACTACAACCTTTTTAGGTCTGGGCCTCAGGTTTATTTATCTGTTTCACGGTCATTTGTCAATCTAATAGGCAAGTAGGTGATCAGCCTCCTGTGCCTGACACACGCCGTCGACTTTTTGGGTCTAAGGCAAGCCGGTTTCCTCACGATGTTTTCATTTACCGTTCAGGTGAATATTAAAATATGCCCTCATAGAAAGAAAGTACATTGCGGTACGCTGAAGCCACAAGGCCAACTCGGTAAATACCATATACTCCTTGTAATTAGTTACGTTATTTTAAATATAAAAATATGTAATAGTTTTGAATAGTTTATAAATAAAATGTTTATATTTATACGATAACCCTTTACAGGTAAGAATTCAATTTGTGAGAGAGACTCAAGATACATCGTCATGCTTGGCAATTAAATAAGGTAAGTAATATCTTATTGTTATTATAACAGAATGCTATTTAATGTAGCCCCAACAGATTTTAATCGTCTTCAGACGCAGTTATCTAATATACGATTAAGTCAGCGACTAACTTTAACCTAATAGGCGGTGCTTACTTCCAAAAAAGGTGTAGCGACTTTACAAAGAAAATATTTTTTAAAGTTATTTTTGAATAATGTTCCATTGAACTAAAAATATTGTAGCGATAGTTGTTGTAAAATATCTAAAATTAATCTAAACGCTTTGTCCAACCCAAAGCAATCTACAATCCATATATTGAGACGATATGCAAATACATACAGAGAAACCTGTCTCCGCTAAACCAATATTATTGAGCAGGGGTCGCCACCCCATTAATTGATTTTTAATCTCATTTTAAACCACTTCGCTTCATTTCATATGTTTCATTTGAATGGGGATTAGTGGAAAATGGAGTTGTAATCGAATTCTTTCAGTTCCATTAAGAATCAAAGTGTGAAGACGCTTTAAGCCCTTGAATTAATATTAATAATATTATATGAATAGTTATTAAAATAAAAGTAATTGCATTGAAATAGCATATGTCTTGCTATGTTAAAGCAATTACAATAGATCTTATACTATCCAAAGTAAAATCTAAGGATAAAAATAAGCCGATATGAATTGTTTGAAGTAACTTTTAATGCTGAACTGTTTGAACTCGCCTATGACCACATCCGCAAATTATTATCAACTACAGTTAATTCGCAATTATGAGTCGAAGTTTCTATTGTCCCTACACACACCCCAAACTGCCGCCGCCGGCTTATAATTTATCGCGACAAATTTTAGGGGATCCAAGTTAGCAATCGGCATAATAACTAAAACTTTAGCAGTGGTCTAGACGTTTGCGGTATACCTACTTTATAGTCTTAAGCCTTAGGAACTGATTAGTTCCAATACTTAAAGCTGTTACAAGGATAGGTAATCACCTTATTTAGACTGAAAACGTTATGGAGCCGCCTGGAATCAAATCAGCAGCTGGATACCAAATTAATTGGCCTCGTCTGAGAAGGAGGAACCAAAAGCCAGTTATGATTTCTCCAAATATATTTACTAAATTGTTGCAATTATAAAAATATGCCCGATTTCCAAATAGAAAGTGAACGAAATGTCGTTCGTATCATGTTTAATGTGACACAATTTTAATGTGCGTAAGTGACAAATGTGTGTTGTAATTTAAATGTCATTCACATAAGTTTCATTGAAGCATTTAAAGGCGTGGGTGCAAGATACCTATTTTGTTATTTTTAATGCAGTTCTAATTTCGTAATAACACAATATTTTTAATTCACGTTTATTCATAGTACACTTGCTTCCACAATATAATTAGATGTATTACAGATAATAATTCACGAAATCTCCCCATTTTTTATGAACACTCAGCCTTAATATTAATAACTGTCACATATAAGGTCAGCCACGCCCTATAATTTTTCACGTAGCGTTTAAACAACAGTTTAGCAATAAATGGTATTTAAAATAAAAGTTAATCAAAATCTGTTGAGCAATTGTAACAGGTGGCCCCTTGACCTTTCGTTATTCGTTCAATGTGGCATATTATTACGTGGGCGGAATTATTTTTAATCATTTTCGCGACTTTATTTCCCTTTTCAATCTCAAAGTTAAATTCAATATTATATTTAATAATTTAATAGAATACACTTGTATTGAAACTGTAATTTGAATGATTTCAATAAATAACTACACTGTACTACGGATTTGTATGTTTCCAATTTTGTCATAGAGCATAGAGCAAACAGGCAGGAGGTTCATCTGAATTGAGTGATACCTCCCCGCTGGGACCAATTATCTTATGTTCTTGAATGAACAATTGAATATTTGCAAAGTGAAAATAATAACGATTTGAAAAATTACGTATTAACTGAAAAAAAAGTTTTACCATATATATACGTTTTTTCAGGCTGTATTATATACCTAGGGATTTCTAAATGATACTTGTTTTAAGTCTTAATAACCAACTATTCAGAGTTAATGCTGTATCTTGATCTTAATTTGCGGTCCCATTGACCCACAAATTGAAATTGTCACTCCTTCGATCGTATTTCGAAATTAGCTCGAACGGTAATCGAATGATTACCACTAATTGTTCTGCCATTGCGGCATGTCAGGTATCAATTCGACTTCATTATCGATTATTTATCGTGAAATTTATAAGTGCAGAATTGTTTTTTATTTATTATGCAATCGGGTATCTCAATGGTTTAAATACCACGTAGTGAAACTACAGCCTTCCACCTTGGCATTCAACTAGACTCGATGGGCGAATAAACATCCTGAGGAAACCGGCTTGCCTTAGACCCAAAAATTCGAGGGCGTGTGTCAGGCACATAAGGGCGATCACCTACGAGTACTTACCTATTAGATTGACAAACGATCATGAATCAGATACAGAAATCTGAGGCCCAGAACTGAACAGGTTGTAGCGCTACTGATTTATTTATGTTATAGTCACGTTGATGATTCGTTTTCAACTAACTGTACTCAAATATAATATAAAGACTGTGTACATACATTTCAAGTACATAAAATAAGTACTTCAGTACTGTGTAGTAAGGAAAGGGCAATGTAACCGTCACGAGAGTGATACATTTCGTGAACATTAAGCGTAGCAACTGGTCATTTATCTCCAGTTAAGTGCACGTCTCTATTCGAATCGCTATTTCTCCTAAATAAACTGTCCTAAAGATTCGTTTATATAACGGAATTCATATTAAACTAATCTCACTAAAATTTACTTAAGTTAACTAACCAACAAATAAATTATTACTAAACAACGAAAATAACTTAAATAATATAGAACTTCAAGGCTGATAAAATTTAAAAACATTGCAAAACTTTTGCGCTGGTGGCCTTTCAAGTATTTAGTCCTAAGTGGCAATGTATGTAAGCATATTTCCAAGTTTTAATTTATTTTAACGACTGACCTACATTTAAGTATAATAAAAAATATTAAATGAACAAGGAAAGTTTATTTAACCTAACAAATTTCTAAAACTACGTCTCATAATCTAATATCGTATTCAATGTTCGATATTCTAAAACTGAACACGGGATAAAAACTGACTGACAAAATAACAACAAAATAAATCGTTCTCATTTCAATAAATATCTAGCGTAACGTTTCATTGTGCGCACATCGCAATAATATTTTTCAGGTTAGTGGGTCGGTTTTGACCCGCGAGGATTCGAGTGCAGTGTAATGGCTTTATGGGGCTGAAACGACCCCTACAACACAACGAGAGCACTTAATGCCGTCTGTTGCAATATTTAGCGTTTAGATCTTACATCGAACGTTTATTGAGTTTTATAGCGAATTGAGTTTTACATTTTTACACTAGCCTTCGAATCCCAGTACTTTTACATTTGTTGTTTCTGTATTCTGTTAGCACTGTTGATGTTTCATCATCGGACGTCAAGGCAGAATACAAAATACCATCCGTACCTATCACCTCGACGTCCGTCGTCCACAACTGAGCGTTTCTTAAGGCAGTTTTTGCAGCGCGAAGTATTTCCGAACCAATTCGACTTAGGGTCGAGAAAAGAGCGTACCAATTCTTCTTGAGAGCCTTCTGGCAATGTAAGTGTCCATGGGCAGCGATATCACTTAACATCAGATGAGCCTCCTGTTACATAAAAACAAATTATATTTTATCGTAGCCGTAATTAAATTAATAAATCTTAGATCAGTATCTGACAGTTACAAATATAGTCTTTAGCTGGTTTATAAACCATTTTCCACGGACTGAATGGAATTTCAATAATTCACCGTATAAAGTGTCAACTATAAAGTATCAAAGTGACATTATTCACGCCCTAATTAGTATCTTTCAACCTGGATAAGCTGCCACACTCAAACTTCTTGTTTCTACTTATAAATTACACGTTAAGTTCTCTTTAATATTTGTATTTCTAAATTTGGAATAGACAAGTCTGTTTATTTAGTAACTACGTTATTTAATATTTTATTAGAAATTGCTGAAAATTCACTCCTCCAAAGCTTGGTGTGCTCAGCAAGGCAAGACGGTTAACTCCGGCCTATCGCTTGCAGTACTGTTTTCACCTCTGGACGGAAACTCCCCAGTACCAACTCCTTCCACTTGACCGTATTCAACGAAGAGCGGTTCGAATCGTCGACGACCAATCCCTTAGCGAGCGGCTAGCCACTGAACCAATTCGACTTAGGGTCCTACAAGAAGAGATCGTGCTAATTCTTAAAAGGCCGGCAACGCACTCGCAAGCGCTCTGGCATCGAGAGTGTCCATGATGAGCTGCACGTTTGACCCGTTCGATAACAAAAATTAAAACTTTATTTACTGATCGTTTGTGATCACTTACATACCTACATTAAATCGTTAAAATATTAACTAAAGCACAATTAAAGAGAAAGATACAAATTACTACTATTCATATAAACATTAGACAGATTTCGGTGTCTTGTGAGAGCGGTGACCCATGGATGATCCAAAATGTGTCAGAGTCGTGATCATTGGTAATTAACTAAATAAATTATTTCCTTAATCGGATAACATCAGTGAGATTTGTGGTTTTCATTATTTACAGACGGTCAAATTTACCTTATGTAAGGTAAAAGCAAGAAATGCTATAGCACCAGTATTATACCTTTAAAATATCAAGCCTTTGATTAATAAGTGTCAGGCGTCATAAGTTATACAATTTCATAAGATTAAAATGGCGTAGCGCAGCTGGCGTGACGAGGGTCGCGGGTTCGGATCCGGAGATTTATTAGTGTATGGCTCACTAGCGATGGGTATGTTGTCGGTCTTGGACCCAGAAAATTGTTACTTAGTAAATAAAGAAAATACAATGTAAGTAATAGTAATACTGAATGTGGGAACTTCTTTCAAGGATCCTGTACATTAAATTATTTTGTAAATGGATAAATTTATGATAATGAAAAATGAATAGGAATAAAAATACATTGCTATTTGTAATGGATAAATTTTTACTTATAGAAAGATATACTTACAGCATAACATTTATGCCCTGCAATTTTAATTAACATGGTTGAGAGACATCGCAAAATTAAAAGTAACGCGTGAAAAAATATCCTAATTAGAATACGCAACGGGAGTTGTAACAACATGTCACTTTAAACTTAAATAGACGGATTACCCAATGTGTATTATAATATTTTATTAATTTTTCAGTGAGTTTTCCACGAAAATTCATACACAATAGTTAGACTTTATACTATGTATGTCTAGTGCCACCAGAAAGAGCATCTGCCACGACTGAGACTTGTGAACATTCATAGAGAATAAATAATCGATTTTTTATCAATCGATCTTTGTCCCGGCCATTCGATACAAAGCGATTATTTAACCGCGACTCGAGTGAGCGATCAGTGTGTCCGGTACAGACGCTCACTCGACAGCTACCATTTGTCTAATCCAATGATTCATGTTTGCCAAACTTGATACAGAGTGTTTCATGAAAGTCCTATGACAACCACAACTGACGGACAGTTCGGAAAAAAACTCAGTTAATGCATGGTGGCGATTTATATATCTGTAATTGTCCCGTTAGGTCGTATATTAATTACTTTATTCGCTCAGTAAATTGTAAAGTATAGCCATTAATTAATCGAACATTTACTTTTGTAAATAAGCCACACGGTTCCTGAAATACCTATATTATTAAATCGTTTGATGTTAATTTGACGCACGGATTTAAAAATATTTGTTAACAAATTCGGTTAAGTAATACAAACAATTCCGGAGGCTTTTTCATTTATAATATAAACAAAATATACCTAGAATTTTCCGAATAGT